AAAAAGCTGAGCAGGATTTTATATTTTTTTTTGGCTAGCTCAGTCCACTCTGAGGGTAGGGCTGGCACAGCATGTGGTGCTGACAATTAAACCTTGCTTGATCCCCTGTGGCTGCCTAAGCTTACCTTAAGCAGGTGCTTTAGACCACTGAGCTATCTTGCCAGCCCCTAAAAAATATTTTTAAAAAAATAAAGGGCTAGCCAGACAGCTCAGCAGACTAAAGTGCCTACTTAGGCAGAGCACAGCAGCCAGGATTGGATCTGCCCTGGCGTGCTGTGTCAGCCCCGCCCCGGGGCACACTGAGACTGTGCGTGGTGGCGCGCACCTATAATCCCAGCATTTGGGAGACTGGAAACGGGAGAATCACTACGAGTCCAATCTACATAGTGAGACCCTGTAGACTCTGCAGACCCTGTCCTAAATACATTAAAAAAAAAAAAAAAAAAGAACCTAAAGACTTATTAGCATTAAATCTACATAACAATGCTCCATGTTGTGACTGGGTGAGGTGGTGTGCACCTGTCATCCCAGCTCTTGGGAGGTTGGAAACAGGTGGATCACTACGAGTCCAATCTAGTAGTGAGACCCTGAACACCCTGGAGACCCTTCCCTAAGATACAAAACAAACAAAAAACCCAATGCTCCATGTTGAAGGTAACTATATATACAGAGCAGTCATATACCAATGAGTATTTGGCATATGAATATTTGGTATATGCTTCCAAAAAGCAGCTGTCAGAGACGTATGAGGTCATCTTGTCATTCAATACAGCTAAGAAAGGTTATTGTAACACCAACGACCAGGAGACTCACGTGGACTGAGAAGCATTTTCCTCAAACCAGCGGGCATGTCGAATGGCTGCTAAGGCACTCTGCAACACTTTGATATCCACTGGAAGACAAGTGTGACAGGCCAAGAGTAAATGTTCCCATTACTAATAAACAGGCAATTCAATTCCATTGCAATGGTATAAAAATCTGGAAGGACACGCCAACTTAGCAGTTTTTTAAATTGCCCTGTGTTCCTCAGATCACAAATGACTTATCCAAAAATTAGTATTCCAGGGAGCCTGCCCATTAGCTCAGGTGAAACAAAAATTAGTATTCCTCATCCAAACCAAATCTAAGAGCATGCAAGATCCATGATTTTTTTCCCAAAAACTTATCTCCTTCCATAAATATTTCCATAGTCCTCTTTCCAGTTTCACAGCTGTGTTCTTAGTTACCCTGTCTTTCAATATCTCACTAGGAAGTTGGTAAAGTTAAAAGTAGAAAAAAGCAAACTTCAGACCAAGTCCTTCAAGTTTCAGAAAACTTCATATAGAACAGCAAAAAGCTGGCTGAACTCAACAATACATGTCTTGGATTTCTCCCATATCTCCCAGAAATTGGGGGAAAAAGAAAAAGACTAACGGTGGAGTTCTGGGTCCAGTTTCCGAAGATTGGGTGGCACTGTTGTAATGAGAATTTTCACTGTAGCATCAGAAGAACTGATTTCAAAACCAGTTTCATTAGTCAGCATGGTCAAAACTGTAAGAACAAAATAATCAAAAGCTGTAATTCACATTTTTATTAGAAAGTCAAATATTTAAATGGATAAAAGAATACATGGTTTTTTTCTTTAAAACAACAGGAGTTCAGAACAAAAATTCAGATAACTTAGCATAGACTTCCAAAAAGGAGACCAAAAGGATTCTGAATACTGAGGGCCCAACTAAAAATTTTCACAACAAAAAAAGTACACTGCCTATCATGGAGCCTGACCTAATTTTGTTGAAAGATTTACAATTATAGGACCTTGCTCCTGCTACAACATATTTAACAACAAACTCAAACCTTCAGAAGGATCCTGTGCCCTTAGGCTTTCCACGACTTTGTTCCCCAGGGCAGCCACAGCTTCCACTAGATTGACAGAAAGGGAGATAACGATGCCATTAATTGGTTTGTGCCGACTTTCTCTACCTCTACACTAGCTAGGACTCTCACCCCTCCCTCATGTTCAAACCACACCAGAGTTCTGCCAGTCAGCGGCACTAAACTACATTTTGGCTGATTAATTCTTCACAGAACTCACTCCTGGGCACTAAAGGACGTTTAGCAACATCCTTGGCCTCTGTCCTCATGCCCCTTTTTGTAGTCCTATGGACTGAATTCAGGAGCGCTGAGCTACACCATCTCACTAGGTCACGCAGGCTGGCCTCCACTTGTGATCCTCCTGCCTCCTGAGTAGCTATGATAGGCATGTGCCACTGCACCGAGTCTTACAGCTTGATGCCAAGAACATTCCCAGCTGCGACAAGCAAAAATGTCTCCAGACACTACCAATGTCCCCTGGGAGCACAACAGCCTTTGAGAAACACAGCCCCACAGTACTGGTCATACACTTTTTCTGATGCACACTACAGTTTGTCCCTTATCACCCCGACACACATTTTAAAAAACTTCTGGCCAGCACGGTGGCACACAAGTGCAATCCAATACTAGAAGTTGAGGCAGAAGGGGTCAGGGAGACAGCTCAGCAGAATAAGCGCTGGCCTGACTTCAATCCCCAGTTCCGCCCAAAAAAAAAAAAGTTGAGGTAGGAGAACTATAAATCCAAGCCCAGCCTGGGCCCTTAGCAAGACCCTATCTCAAAATGAAATGAGAAAGGGCTGGGGGAAGAGGGTGTTTGTGGAAATGAAGCTCCGTGTGAAGGCCCTGGGTTCAATCCCCAGTACTAACTCTGCCTCAATAACTCCTATCTGTCTCCCAACCATCGTTTTTCATACCCACAAAAGTTGACTTTAAAGATTCCTAGGTTCCAAACCCAACTGCTGTATTGTTTCCATGTCAGAGTCAGGTTGGCAACGCAGTTCAGCACCTGCCTAGCATGCACACAAGGCCTGGGGTAGAGCCCCACACCAGAAAGCCAGAAAAGGAAGTACACTCACAGGTTGGCAGAATCTTCAGGATGACCACTAGGTCGGCCACATTGTGTCCTGTCGTCATTGTTCCCTTTTTATATGATCCTACCTGTCGGACTTCTTCAATTTGCTGGTATAGAAGGAATTTCAAAACAACTTTTAGAAAAAACAGGTACCCCTACTTCCTCTCAGAACTGTTACAATACAGATTTTTATGACCTATATTTATAAGGAGCAGTAGTAAAATCATCCCAAAAAGTTACATAAAAGCGGGACACATCACAGCCTGGTTCACAGTGATACAAATCTTGCCCCCAATATCAATACTACAAAGAAATTCTAGAGTTTAATTTCACAGAACTTTTCCATTTTAGGTTTGGATTTGGGTAGGAGTCATCTGAAAGAACTGAGTCAGGGCCTAAACAAACTCCCACTCCTTTCTTAGAACTAAGTTATCAAAAACTCACCACTTCAAATGTCCCTGGAGCCACAATCAAATTGTCAATCACATTGTTTATTTTTGTTACCAGAGAAAGGATAGAAGCCTGAAAAACAATATAAAACAAAAACATCCTAAGCTCAAAACGTACAAGCGGCTTCTCACAAGTTGACTGTTCTTCCCTAAGGCTTTCTACATAAGCAAACTCTTGCGTAGAGCTTTGGAAACATTTCAGCTCTCCTTGCCTTCACTATAGCAGACAGCACTATTTGAGTCCACGGATCTCCCAGGAACAGTGAGTGCATCTTTAATTTTCTTATGTGCCCCTATCTCCAGCTACAGTAAGAAAAGAATTACATTTAAACACCGAGAATTAAAAGCTAGATGTAGTGGCATATGCCTGTAATCCCAGTCCTTGGGGGGATCTCGCATGGAGATTTCCAGAGTTGAGGTCAGCATGAGTTTCACAGAGTTCAAAGCCAGCTTGGACTACATAGCGGGACTCTGTCTCAAAACACATAAAAAGTCAAAATTTACTAAGGATCAAACCCAGAACCATAGACATGCTAAGCAAGTGCTCTATAATCAAACTACACTCTTAGCTCACACAATACTCCTAGCCTCACTAAAAAGGAAGGCTGAAGCAAGAGGATCACAAATTTGAGCCCAGCCTGAGCATCTTAGTGAGACCCTGTTCACTAAAACAAAAAGGGCTCAGGACAGAGCTCAGTACAAATGCCCTGGGTTCAGTCCCCAGCACTAAAAGAAAATAAAGTGATTTTCTTTCCTAACTTCCTTAGTAATACCTCATGAAAGAAGGAAAGAAACTAATACCTGTTCAGCAGAATTGGGAGCTAGATCCTGATTCCTCTTCAGCAGAGCTTCACTGAAGGAAGTTTCATCAGGTGCTGGCTTGACCCGAGGAAAGGCCATTTCACACTAAAGCAGAAATAAACTATGTACCACTTATCAAAAAATAAGACAGGGCTGGTGAGATGGCTCAGTGGTCTAAAGCACCTACTTAGAACAAGCTTAGCAAAGCACAGGGATCACGGTTCAATCCTCCAGCACCACATGCCAGCCAGCCCCGCCCCCTGGTGGGCTGAGCTGGCCACACACACACACACACACACACACAAATAAATACATAAATAAAATTTAAAATAATAATAATAATAAGACAGCAGGGCATAGTGGTGCATACTACCACTCTAGAGGCTGGGCCAGGAGGATCACTGCAAGATGGAGGGCAGCCTAGACTCCACAGTAAGTTCAAAGCCACCCTGAGCTACAGCGAGACCATCTCAAATAAGAAATGATATATTTTTTTTTTTGTTACAAGAAAAAGTTTCTACAATACTTTCTTAAAATGTTCAAATAAAAATACAAGGTAGTAAGCTCACAATTTAACTTACACTACTTTTATATTAAAAGAAAACCCAGATACATGTAACTTACAAAGGTTACAATCATGTAGTCAAGAAATTATCTGTTCTACTAGCTTACAGTTGTTTTTGTATGTAAAGCGACCCCAGTTAACTGAAAAGCCCAACTCTATGGGGAAAAGAGTGGATAAAGGGAGCTGGATTCAATCAGTGCAGGCTGGACCCATGTTCTGAAGTGTACTGAATTCCATTAATATGTACAATACATGCGTGTACACTTGATTTGATCCTCATCACCATAATTAAATACTAAGAATTTTTAAAAATCCCAACTTTCTTACTCCAGCCACCAAGCAACTTAATTTTCAAGGAGACAGCCTCCACGTCCACATCTGTCTGGGAGCAGCAGCCACGAAGCTCCTTATTAACCTCCAGATACTCACCAAATAGAAGTCGAATGGGATGTGTGGCACAAAGGGCCTGAACCTGCAAGAAGAAACTGCAGATTACTCACCTGGCGGCCATCGGGCGAGGTCCCCTTAGTGGCTGTCCCGCAGGCTGTCGGTCTGTCCGCCTGCAGAGCGGGGCGGTCGGGGAAGCTGCCCTGCTGCGAGGAGGGCCCGAACCTCGCAGGACGGCGGGGGACACGCTTCCAGGCCGCCCCAGCCTCCCCCAGGCGCCCGCGCCCGCCCCGCTCCCACGCGGTGCCCGAGCCCGCGCTCACCCTCCTCCGGGGCCTCCTCGGGAGCCGAAGCGCCCCCCGCGGCCGCGGCCTCTGTCGCCCCTGGAAAGCACACATGTCAGTGACGCGCGCCACCGTCCCTCGGCGGCCACACGCTCAGCGCTCCCACCGGGCAGCGACGGGGCTCGCATCGCGAGCCCACGAGAAGGAAGCCATAGCGAACGCTCAGAAACCAGGCCAGCGCCCCGACTCGGGGCCACAGCGCAAGCCTTCCCGGCCGCATCCCGCCCAGCCGCGCTCCGCAGGCCGCCGGGCCGCGCCTCCTGGGCCAGGACACGCCCTCGCCGCCGCCGCCGCCGCGGGCCCAGCGACTCCGGGGCTCTTCGCCAGCCCCGCTAGGCCGCCTGGGGCCTCCGACTGCTTCGGCCCACTCCCCCGCAGTTTCCGGAGAAACCTTTGGAGCACATCAGCCGCCTTACCTCATGGCGGCCCTGATCGTGAACAAAGGAAGCCACGCTAAACCACCGCTCGCCTTAGAGAAGAAGGCAACTGAAGCGTCGCCGGTCTCCCAACATCCTAATAAAACTAGGCGCGATTGGCTCCCGCCTTGCTCCGCCCACTGTGTCTATTGGCTTACTGGCTTTAGGAACCAATTAAAAACGCCTACTAAGTCAGGAACTAGCCAATAAAAACAGGTTTAACTGTAACGACAATATTCGGTTAGCCACTAAGAGGCGCTAGATACAGCACTCAGGGCTATGAACACATAAAGAACTTTATATATGGCTCCAGAACAACCTTCTTAGCAGGTAGCAGAGTGGCGCAGCGGAAGCGTGCTGGGCCCATAACCCAGAGGTCGATGGATCGAAACCATCCTCTGCTATCGGAGTGCCAATGTTTTCCTTTCGTCCCACAGATCACACATAATGTGACAGTACATACCAATTAAATTTATGTTTCTGTTTCTCTTTGTGTATTTTTGAAATATCTTCTCGATGTGTAGCTCAGGATGGCCCTGAGCTCACTTTGTAGCCCAGGTCGGTCTCTAACTTGCAACAATTCTCCTGCCTCAGCCTCCCGAGTGCCGGGATTACAGACGTGTACCACGATGCCCGACTTTTATTTTCTCAATCAAAATTTTCACCTTTCACAGCTGTTTTTGCTACTATCAGCCTACATGGAAAGGATTAGAAAGGGATTTAGCATTCAACACTGCAGTCTAGAAGTCTGAGGCTGAAGTCGACCTCGGATAAGGAAGGTTACTGAACCTGTAATCCCGGCATTAGCAGGTTGAAGCAAAATGATCGTCATCAAGGCCAGCCTGAACTGCATAGCCAGATGCTGTCTCATCTCAATAAATAAACAAACAAACAAACCCCTAAATGGGTAACACGTGCCTGTCACCCCAGCACTGAGAGCTCAAGCCCAGTCTGAAGTACAGGGCAAGACCCTGTGTGAAAACCAGCAAACAGAGGCCAGGGAGATAGCATGCAAGGTCCTGAGTTCAACCCCCGGTACTGCAAAAAAACAAAAAAGGAAAAAAGAAAGAAAGAAAACAAACCAATAAAAATCCAAATGGGAAGGAAACTGAAACAGCATTTGGAAATAAAACTCACAAAATAGCAGCAAAGAAAAGAGGGCCCAACCTGTGGCTGTAGCCAAGTCTTCCTCCAATTCTTTAATGCTCACTCTGAAACTGCATGATTTCTCCACCCTACACCTTCATCCAGGCGATTTCCACTCACCCATCACTCTGCACCTCTGTCCCTCCTGTCCCCTCTTTCCCCTCTGCACCCCCTAACACTGGTTGGAATTTCAGGCTGCCCCATTAATTGGAAGACATTGCAATTGTTTTCTACTTGTAGCCATTACCTTAAAAATTACAGCATGCACTCTTGACTTAGCAAGATCTAACTTCCATCCTGCTTGCAAAAATACAGTAACAATTTAGCTTTTTTTTTTTTAACCTCTGGTGAGTTTATTTTTATATTTTTTTAAATTGAGAAATAAATATGAATGAGACAGTTTCACAGCTGATTAATAGGACAGTTTTTTTTTTTTTTTAATTTATT